ATATATATGTATATATATGTATAGTTGCCATCAAACCCATGATACAGGAGGGGCAATTAAGAAAGGATGATGAAATAACTTGTTCGAAGTTGTATAATTGATTGAGGTTGGTGCTGGGATTTCAATCCAGGCATATTAGACTTAAAAGGTACTATCTTCCTACTGTGCTACATAAAACACAAGTATGGAGCACCTACTATGTGCCAGCACTGGGAACAGAAAGATGATTTAAAACACGGCCCCTGCTCCTAAGAAGCTCCCAGCGGAGTGGAGGAATAGAAAGTGGCCAGAGCTCTCCGTGTGATGCAAGCAGGGAATGCAGGAGAGAATGCTGTGGGAGGAGATTCCCACTGACACTGTTTAGAATTGTCTGCACGTGGTGGTCATTTAAGCCAACCGACTTCTAGAGGGTTTTAGCATCGTTTTTAGTATCTGCTACCACACTGCGGTCTCCCTTATTGCCTGCTTGTGGGGCACATGAAGTCGGGTAGACTGTGAGCTAGTTCCACTGGCTGACTCTCACACATCTGGTGCAGAGACTCTGGGCCAGCACAGCCCTGCCTTCCAAGAGTTCGCAGAAATCACAAGTGGGAAAAGTCTCAAATCACGAAGTCAGTGGTCTTTTAGAGAGGGAGACATGGGCAGAGTGCTGTGGGAACAGAGGGGGTACCCTGCACCATGCCGTGAGTAAAGAAGGCATCACAGAAGACAATCAATTGATGAAACCTGGAGAACTTACTCAGGTGTAAAATGGACTCTGGTTATTATTGCCGCTAAAATCCAAGAGGAATTTCCCAGAGGACCACCCAGGCTGGGTCAGAGCTGCTTACAATGCTCGAAGCCTTTTTTTGACGAAAGGTCTTTAATTTCTACACTAATGAGCCAAACACTGACCCCCTCTCATGCCACTCCTTCAATGCAAATGCAGAGCTTCTGCATGAAGTGGGAGTGTCAGGCATGCATTAGCCCACCCTTTGAGATCAGTTACTTAAACTAGCCCCACGTCACTCCCAGCTGAAAACCCACCACTAATGTCTGTTGGCCACAGCCCAGGACTGATGAAAGCAATCAAGAGGAGAAGCAGACACCATAGACATGCAGTCTTACAAAGGGATGAGAAAGGAGGGTGGGGAAGGCAAGGCAGAGGACTGGGGACTCTCACATACTATCTGCGGACTCAGTGCCGGATACCTAACACACACACACATTTACCACACAACCACACACACATATCATATACCACACACACCATACACACACACATACACAACCACACACACATACCATACACCACACATACCACACACACACACACACACACACACACCCTTGCTCCTGGGGGGATACCTCAAAGAAACTCATGAAACTGTCTGCTCTGTCATGGGTGTCTGCCAACCGGTAAGCTGCTTGAAGAAGCTTCGTTTGCTTCCGGCCATCGTGAAACTGCTCATGTTCAAGCTGAAGTTGCTGCATTGAGTTGGTCCCAAACTTTTCAGCACTTGAGGTGCTGGAATGGTACTAGAACCTCTACTCATTTGTTACCTGGGCCCTGTTGCGGAAATCATTCTCTCAGCTTCTGCGGTAGCATCTTCCCTCCAGAAGGCCTCGAAATCAGCTCAGGAGGGCACTTGAACGGGGGCCTCCAACACTCCATCCTCTGCCATTGTTCTCTTTACCAGGCCCCTCCTTTCTTCCACTTTCTCCTGCATTGTACTAAATGAAAGCTCTCTTATGAAAGGAGGCGAAGAGATACTGGGAAGGAGGAGCAGAGAGAGGACAAGCGCTGTTGAAATAAACAAGCAACAACTGTTCAAAATCCCCTTTGAGGATAAATTTCCTCGTTTATTCTTCAGCTCTTCAATCCTATCCTGATAGGTATTATTTTATCCATTTTACAGATAAAGAAACTAGGCTAGGAGACAATAACTGGTTACTGGTGCTTTCTGACCTACAGCTGTGTTCTTTCCATTCTAGCAAATTGCCTCTATTTGCATTAGATGTGCAGAATTTTGATCTCCTATCTGCATTGGGCGAGCTGCAGGCCCAGCACAGAAGGAATGTAGCATAGACTTTCTAAAGCTTTTCAGAGAGCACAGACCTGGATGCCACCCTGCAGTGGCAGTCTGGGATAACACGGGACATGTTCCGCTCCGAGGCCATAACTCACGAGCTGATTTAGATAGCGGAAAGTGTTTCCCTAAGACAAGCAATGTGTCTTCGAAATGAATTGCCATCTCACTGTCTACTCTGCATAGTGTTTTATAACTATCTATCTTTGATCACAGAATACTACAATTAAGGTGAAATCCACATATGCAAACCTAAAAATGTTTTGGCATTTCTCATTCATCTTAGAGCATCCTGGCTCAAGGCAAATGAGTGTCCCACCCCCATTCCAACAGACACACACACACACACACACAAACCACACTTAGTCACAGGGCGTGAAATGATCCCATTTGACTTAGCTTTTTCTCTTTTGATCCTGCCTGTGATTCTCTCTCCATTCACTTTATTTAGCTTTCTTTGTCCTCTGGAAATGATATTTGTTCTCTGAGCTAAGGCATAATCAGCAGAGAACTGGACTTGGAGATAGAAGACCCTGGTCTTAGTCCGGATATACCGCTCAGTAGTTGTGTGACCAGACCAAAAGAGATTTCAGGTTTTAAAGTTGAACAGGTTATAGATCCATGACTCTGAGAATCACCAGCTGTGCAATTGCTGGCTAATTACTTAACCACTCTGAAATTCAATACCTCATCTTCAAAACAGCAATCTTATTATTAGCCTTTCGAGGTCACGGTGAAGATTAGATTAAATTTTTTTTTTTTTACATCATGTGATGTGAAAGACATACGGCCTGGTACTCTATATATCTTGCTTCTATTTTCCACCTTAGTCGCCATCTCTCTGACTCCCAGGATTCTCTTCATCAAGGATCCCCAACCCCCGGGCCACAGGCCAGTACCAGTCTGTGGCCTGTTAGGAACCGGGCTGCACAGCAGGAGGTGAATGGCAGGCGAACAAGTGAAGTTTCATCTGTATTTGCAGCTGCTTCCCAGTGCTAACATCACCACCTCAGCTCCACCTCAGATCATCAGGCACTAGCTTCTCATAGGAGCACCGCTCCTTGGTGCCAAAAAGGTTGGGAACTGCTACTTTTCATAATAATATTTATCTTACAAGATTATTTTGAAGATCGTATGAGAAAATACACCTAAAATTGTTATAAAATAGTAAATGATTTTAAGTAATTCATTTGCTAATTCACCCAATCAACACTTATTAAAGATTCAGTATTAAGTGATACGTGTTTCTAAAGAATAATGACAGAATTTATCCTAAAGAAATTTTCATTTTCAAGAAATATCCTACTTCCTTAGAAAAACATAATATGAGGCAAAAATGAAAAGTGCTGGTAATGTCTTTATAAGGTTCAAAGATCACCAGGAGATACCTTCCAGATAGGGCCATTAACCAAGGATCGATGATGGGCCTGCTATTTGAGAAGACACTTGGCAGAAGGGTAGGAGACAACGAGTAAAGGAAGTTCAGGTGGAGGGTCCAGCGAGATCTAAGTCATGGCCCTGAGCAAGTGAGGGAGGTAAGGGGAGCCCAGACTACAATGTGGAGAGTAATTAGAGGGTTGTGGTTGATAAGGTTGCACAGGTGGGTTGGACTCATTTATGGAGGAATTTGAACTTCTCATTTTATGGACAATGCGGGAGCCATTGAAGGTTTCTGTGCAGGAGAACAATGTTGTTGAAGGCAGTTTTCTTGGAGACAAATTCAGCAACAACGTACAGGGAGGTTTGGAGTGAGGAGAAACAGAGGCCCACTAGGAGTCTGTTATGATAATGTCAGAGAGAGCCGAGGCTCCGAAATGGATCAAAGGAAGGGAGAATGAAGAAGAAAAGCTCGGATGGAAAATATTACAGAGGAAATCTAACAGAATTTAAGTGACCATGTTGAGTGATGGAGGATGACACAGGTGAGCAGAGGTTAAGGAAGAGTCCTGAACACTACTGAGGTCTTGGGTAAGAAGAAAGGCATTGGAGAAATCTCAAGAAGGAGATGGTCTAAGAAGGAAGACAATATTGTTTACGTGTAAAAAGAAGAAAATTCACCAGAATTACAAGGTTCAAGAGAAGGGAGACAAGACTTTTTGTGAGGCAGTGTTTCCCAACCTTGGCACTATTGACATTTTGGGTTAGATAATTCTTTGCTGTGGGGCTGTCCTGTCCATCACAGGATGTTTAGCAGCATCCCTGTCCTCTATCCACTAGATGCCAGTAGCACAACCTCCAAAGCTGTGACAGGCACAAATGTCTCTGGTCATTGCCAAATGTCCCCTAAGGGCCAGAATCACCCCTAGTTAAGACACTGTTGTAGGGAGAGGTCTGCTCCCCATGCGAAAAGCCTGGATCTTGATAATGTTTAATGTCTGGATGAAAAGTGGAAAGCCCATTCAACTACCCATATTTCTCAGGCTCCAGATGTTTGGCAGTACATTGTAAAACTTCCATGTAACAGTATTTCCTACGTTTTGCTGGCTATTTATGGCTGAGCTGATATACCAGTATTAGCCTTGTTTCAATCTTGTAAAACAAATTGATCTGACTTCAGAAGTTTTAAGAGTCACTCAAAAAAGACTATGAATTCTGGAATTGTATCTTGGTTTGGCTATGCCTCGTTTTGAAAATAAGCTCCCTTTGCTAGCTGGTATTGGTTAAATGAATATCGTCCTTTCTTCAATCATATGGATATTGTTTTTCAAAAGGTCTGAAGGACAGTGGCCTTTGGTGTCTGGGATTTTAGGGTGTTTGGCTAATCAATAATCCTAGTAACTAATTAACCACATCTGGATGAGAATTGAGTGAGTTCCGTTAGTTTCAAACATTAGATCTTATGGGTCCCAGCTTGTAGACATCTTATACCCCAACGCCCTGAATAGATTGTTTATTCATTCTAGGTAATACAAAGTGTAGCTTTTGGATGAGATGTTTGCTGTTGCTTTCTTCATCTTGTCTTTGATGACTTGTCACCCTGGGGTAACCATCCAGGAGAAGGCGAACTGGTAAGTCAGCCATGCCTCTGCAAAATTTGTACATGAAAATCACCTGGTGGGGAACTAAGATACTTTCATGTTTGCAACAGGCTGTTGTAGGTTGGAATGTGACCTTTTTTTTATGCTATTACTAATTCAGTGGAAGACTAGTGAGCAGTGAAAAAAAGTGTGCACTTGGAGTCATAGGGGCCTGTATGCAAATCATAGCTCTAATACTCAGGAGTTGGGTAATCTGGAGGAAATCAATTTCTTTGAGCTTTAGTTTCCCTATCTGTAAAATAAGACTAATAATGTTTCTTCCATAAGAGTTAACAAAGATGAAATAAGATTCTGGATATGAAATATACTAAGTTTAATAAATAATAGTTCCCTTGAATAATGTTGGACATTATTGTTGGACATTAATGTTGGACATTAACTTCTTATCTGTTTGAGAATCATAAGAATATCTGACTCATAGCATTCGAGGGAGGATAAAATTAGATAATGTATGGAAAATCATCCTGGGAAAGATAGGAAACTATAGAGAGTCTATGTAATTTCATAGAAACGAGATCCTCTTTTGCAGTGAGGTAATGGAAGTGATATTTTCATATGTACATTGCATTTTGCCCATTCCATTTCCTTGATTTTCTAACCTGGCCTTATGCTTTTTATATCTCAACAGTAAGTATTTTGTGGTGCTTAAACTGCTCCTTAATTTCACCTTTGAGACAGTTTTTAAACAGTCCATACTCTCAAACATTGAAGAGTGTAATTAGAGTTATGTTATTCAAATTCTTGTTGGATAATTCAATTTTGAATCATTATTGCTTTTAAATGGTAGAGCTAGAGAGATTTTCTTTAACAGTTCAGAAGGGGAGAAAGCATTTTTATAAGCAGTTAATTTGCAACTTGTATTTAAAGCAAACACAATTTTGAAAAAAAATCAGAAAATTCATCTCTAATAATTAGAAGATAAAAGCAAGAAAATTGTGGTTAAGGAAATCTCCGTTGAGATACTCTTAATTATAAAAGCTTATCATTGTAATCCTTTTTGAAAATGAACAAAGAGTCCTGATGTTTGATGAACTTATCAAATAAGACAGACCAGTGAAGAGGCAAATTTGAAACCAAGGCAAAAGAGAACCAATTAAATACTTTACAAAGTGCTAAAGTAGGAAATCACGAGGTCTTTCTGTTTAATGCCTGGCTTTGAAAACAGAAAACTACATGGTGAAATAACCTTACTGGGTTCAAATTCTGGCACTGGCATTTCTTATTTACGTGCTCTCAGGCTAGTTATTTAAGTTTTCTGAGCTATAAAATGGGAGGAAAGCAAGAGGGAGAATTAAATGCATGGAAAGCATTTAGAACAATGCCTGGTTCTTAGCAAGCATTCAGTGAAAGCTGTTGCCAGTGGTCTTGTATGATTGCTATTGTCATTTGGGGTGTTTCTATTTTCTCTGATGGCTGACGAAAATTAGAACAAATTTATAATGTGCCAGTTGTCATGGATCCTCTAGACTAGTCGGTGATTTCAAACAGTTAAAGAAACAACGATGGCGCTCCTTTTTCCCAAGTAAAATCTTACATCACCACCATTGTTTTAAAATGTTTTTCTCAAACAACCCCATTTTTTTCCTATTAAGACTTTATAAAAAGAAAACGGTAAACATGAGCTTATAAAACTAAAAGCGTGCCTTAGAAATGAAGAAGCAGATCATACGTTTTCAATGTTAGGGTTCATGTAAGATTTTATTAAATGTTCTAGGTGTGCTAGGTGGTAATCTAGACAGATAATGACCCTCCCCTCATGAAATTTAATTGTAGTGATCGAGTCAGTCAATAAACATGTAAACAAAACATTTTAATAAAATTTGTGATAAATATTATGAAAGAAACAAATAGGGCCTTTTGATAGAAGACATCGGAGCAATCTGAAGATAGGTTGGTTAGGGGGCTCTCTGCGGGGATGGCATTTACGCTGAGATATGAAGGAGAGTAAGGAGAAACCACGTGATGAGCAGAGGAGAATGCAGAGATCAGCATGTGCTACACCCTATCTTGGGAAATGGCTTGTCATGTTTGTGGACCTGAAGGGTGGGAGGAGCATGGGAGCAGGGGATTGTGCCATGAGAGGATGTCAAAGAGGTAAGTGGAGGCCAGATAGCAGAGAGCCCAGGGTACAACGATGGGGAAGTTGGATGTTAGTCTATACGTCATAGAAAACAAAGAAACAAACAAAAGGAAAACACCGAAGGGTCTTATGAAAGAGGGATATTATCTGATTTCTAATTTTAAAAATATTATGCTCATGCGGAGAAGGAAGTGGAGAAAGGGGAAGTGGAAGGTCTTGGCCCGCTGGAGGCCACAGCAATTATCTGGGTGAGAGCTAATGGTGCCTTAAATTAGGACAAAGGCGGTAGAGATAGGCAGAAGGGAAGATATTTGAGATACATTTCGAAGGTAAAATTGAAAGAAATTTCCCAAGGACTGGGTGTGGAGGGTGAGGGGAAGAAAGAAACTAAAGACCACTGCTAGGTATCTATCTGCCTTGAGCAACTATGTGTTATGGTAGTTCCACTTACTGAGGTGGGTAAAAACGAGAGAGGAGCTGGTGAAAAGAAGAAAATTAAGAGTTTATATTTGGAGCCATTAAATTTGCCACGCCTGAGAAGAATCTAATGGAGATATAAATTAGGCAGTTGGATAAACAAAGCAGTATTTCAGAGGAGTGGTGTAGGTTGAAGATCTAAATTTAGGAGGCGTTAATATAGATGGGATGCGAAGGCCAGGACATGCATCTTACTTTCTAAAGAGTAAGAAAAGCAGAAAGCAAAAAGAAAAGCAAGACTGCACCCCGAAGAATTCCAGTTTTTAGAGAAGTCAGGAGAACTGGTAACCGAGGTAGGAAGGGAGCAAGGAAGTGTGGTGTTGAGATCCAAGAGAGAAAGACTTCAAGAAGGAAACAGTGGTTAACAGAGGGCACATGAGACCAAGCCAGACAACTCTCCACTGGGTTCAGCAACATGGAAGTCACTGGAGACTCAGTGCTTTCAAAGTCCAATTTAAAATACTTCAGTTTCACGACATCGTTTCCATGTAACAGAATAGAACTGACTCAAGATGATATAATTAGTGACAATCAGCTTCGAATATAAGCTGAACCAACTTATTAGGTGGCCTCCTGGCAATAATCGGTGTTAAGACCTCTGACCTTCTAGTTTAGGACTGGTAGCCAATTAATTATTTTGTGTTCTAAATTGCTGAGGTGGCCTCATACTGGGTCAAGCATTTGACTCGCAAGTTGTATGTTCAACTCCAGGTTTTATGCCCTTTGTCTAAAAAGCCACCTTGTTTAAAAAGGCAGATGGGAAGCATCACACTGGTCCACAGATCTATAAAGGGCAGGTATTCAATATATTTTTGACAAATATGGAGAGGTTTGATGAGCATGTTTGGGGTTGAGAAGGTTAGAGATAAGAAATTAACATGTATGTTAGGCTTGTGCTCAAGGCTTTATATATATTATCTCACTCTATCTATAAAAGAGTTTCACAAGATATAATCCCTGCTTTTTAGCTGTAAGAAAATTGAAGTTTAGTCAGAAACAGGATTTAAATGCATGTTCAGGGGACTCTAAACCTTTTTTAAAATTACAACAGTGTTTCTTAACTATGTTACATAGTCTTACACATGTTAGATGAAAAAAGAAATGAACCGTGTTCCAAAAATTGGGTTGATACTGGGTTAAGTAAAATGCAGAACTTCTCAGAGCCCTTATATGTTATTGGGCATTTTAAATATCCAAAAGTAATGTGCTGTATGTAGTTTATCCAAACGTATTTATCTATGAAATTTTTCTTCTTTTCCCTTCCATCTCAGGTGCACATCTCAGGAATTAGTACTCCACAGAACAAACTTTGAGAAATCCTGCAATAGCACTATGTTGACTTGTATAATTCCACAGAGGAAAAAACTAAAAGCCAGATAGTTAAATAAACATGAATATAGTAGCACAGCAAGGTACATGTAAACTAAAAACTAGAATCGAAGACTCTCGAATCCCAGTGCTCAATACTAAAATGTCTCATTGCTTGAGTAGATTTTCGGTAGCTGGGAGATACTTTAAAACTATTTGCCAAGATTTACTAGCCCACAGATTTATTAATGTCTCCTTAAGTAATTGAAAAAAAAAATGATATGATTCTTTTGGAAAGCCATTTGGCTATATGTGTTATAAACTTTAAATCACTCATATGCTTCAACTCAGCCAACCCATTCTATAGGATATATCTTCATTAAGCAACTAGAATACAGAAAAACTCGGTGCTCAATAGTCTAATCGTTTGACATTAGGTGAGTGGAATGATGTGTAGCCATCATAGTTTACATTCTGCTACAATATCAAGTGCTAGGATATAAGATGCAACCATCATTATGACTTCAACTATGTTATTAAAATAAAGAGTGACAGGAAATGTAACAAAATATTAATGGTGATAGGACTTGGGTCAGTTTTTTTCTTTTATAATCTTTTCCATGTTCTCTTTAATGAGAATGTATTGCTTTTATAATCAGCAAAAAATACACTACATTAAAAAATTCATTGAGATGATAAGAGAAAATGCTGGTCATATTGATATTGGCTAGAAGGTTGGAGCCTTGTAATGACTTAATGAATGGTCCTTGTGTACCTTCTGTACTCTTGCCTCAGTGATAGCATTACTGTGTGTGCCTCTGTCTAGACATCATGTCACAAAGCTTTTAAAACTATGGCAACACAGCACTGCTCTGACTAGGCTTTTGCTTCTATCCATTAATACTGTTTCCTTCCATTTTGACATCATAATGCAGTCTCTGTGGGCTTACAATGACATTATCTTGACAGTTCTACAGTGAGATGCAGAACTAATGCTGGAGTCATTTTCTGCTTTCAATCCTTCACTCTGTACCTGCTCTCCCACCTTTTGGTGATTAGAATCCTTGTCTTTCTCCATGTTCCTGTGCTTCAAACTTTTATTATTAGGATAATCTATTGGCAAAATGACATGTAGACCAAACCTTGAGCCATTTGAATGTCTAGATAGCAGCATTATTTAATTATATTTTAACTAGAAATTAGGTTGAAATGAATCTTGGAATAATGCCATTCTATTTCCATAAATTAGTAACATTCTTTTCCTTCGTTCTTGCCTACCTACTTTCCTTCTTTCCTTCCTTCTTTCTTTCCTCCCTAACTCCCTCCTTTTATCCCTTCATCCCTCCCTTCCTTCTTTTTTTTTCCCTTAAATATTTACTGAGCAGCTTCCTTGAGTCTGACACCATAACTTCAATAGTGAACATACAGACAGTACCTGCTTTCATAAAATTTACAATCTCCTGGAGAAAACAGAAATTATATAAATATTACAAAGGTGATAATTAAGTGTTGAGAAGAAGATGTGCAGAGCTTGATCAAATCATAAGAAGGGAAGTATCTAAATAGTCTGAGCAATGTTTCCCTAAGGAATTGAAGTTTATGAAAAATAGATATCTCTGAGTTAAACAGATAAAGAGGTAGATTAGTTGGATTCATTCGGGACTGAGTTATAGACGTAGATGTGATCAAGAGAAGAATGGGGTCCAAAAATTTAGGATATAGGTTAGATTTTTAAATTATGGATCATGGAATCAAAACTAGATATAAAGGGAAATGAAAGAAGGGGAGGTCTTATTGATGGAGAGACAGCTTAGGTGTCAAGAGAATGAAGGCCCTAGTGAGGTCCAAACAGAAGTACAGTAGGAATCCTTGAGCATCTAAGATAGATGAGAGGAGGCTGTGGAGCTCACAATCACTATTCACAGGTGACTCATGAATTAGTGATTTGGAGGAGGAGCTGTTTCAGAAAGTTGGAAGGTCCAGGAGGTGACCATGGAAGATAGTGGAGTAAAGAAAAAGATCATCGGAGATGAAGAAAGGGAGCAAATGAAAGGGCAAAGTATTGGATGGCTCATTTTTATGGATGATGAGGTCTTCCAGAGCCATCAAAGGAAGTGACATAGAGAGGAATATTGTGAGCTGAGCACTGAAATTTTATTTGAGGGGATAGTAGAGGTAGAGTTATATACTAGCATCATTTTATAGATCAGAGTTTCTCAAAGTATGGTCTATAGACCCCAGGGAGTCCCTAAGATCTTTTCAGGGGGGTCCGTGAGGTTCAAAGAAATATTACAATGATACTAAGACATTTGCCCTTTAAAAAACTATGGCAACATAGCACTGCTCTGTCTAGGCGTTGCTTCCATCTATTAAAACCGTTTTCTTCCATTTTGACATCATAACGCAGTCTCTGTAGGCTTACAATGACAAAATCTTGATAATTCTATAGTGAGATGCAGATATTTGCACCAATGCTACAAAGGTAATGGCAGTAATGGCAGATAAAACTACTGTGTCCTTGATACAAATCAAGGCTGTGACACCAAACTCACAGGAAATAAATTAAGTTTTACTCAAGCAAGTCTTTTTTGAAACAGTAAAAATTATTAATTTTACTAAACCTCAATTTTTAAATACATGTTATTTAAACATTTTGAATTTAAAATGAGAAGAACATAAAGAATTGCTTTTGCACTGAAGTATGATGGCTGTCTTGAGAAAAAGCAGTTATTTGAGTTGTAAGTCCAAGTAGCTGCTTTTTTTCCTGGAACATCACTTATACTCAACAGGATAACTGCCACACTGCTGTTATTCAGGCTTAGATATTTGGCAGACATTGTCTCAAAGATGAACAGAAAGCCTATAACATCAAGGAAACCAAATAATATTATTTGTTACCAATGACAAAATTTGAACTTTCAAGCAAAAAATTAAAATTTTATAAAACATATCCACTACTATGAGCTTGATGAGATCATTGGTGATATTAATAAATTTGACCTTTTATATTATATAACAATGTGTTAATATTTTTAAAATATACATACTCAGTGAACCATTATTTTTCAAATTTCCCATGCCTGATATTACAAAAATCATGTATGGGCATCAGATCTTTTCAAAGTGTATATAAACCAATGAATTTTAACATCACAGAGTACAAAAAATTCATTGATATGCTTTCAGATTCCACATTGTAACTAATATTTAAGAAATTACCACTTGTCAAGTTTTGGTGTAGTATCAAAGAAACATATCCACAGTTATCTGAAAAGACTATTAAAATACTCCTCAACTCCATAAATTTTTCAGTTTCATAAATACATCAGGCTGGATTTTCTTCATAGACTTCAACCAAAGCAACATAAAACAACAGATTGAATGAAAAAGCAGAAATGAGAATCCTGATGCTTTTGGCTAAAGCAGACATTAAAGATATTTGCAAAAATATAGATCAATGATATTTCTTTCACTAATTATTATTCTTAGAAAATGCATTTTTTAGTAAAATGTTATATATGGTAACATATAGTGCATTTATTATTATAATTTTAAATGATTACATATATATTTTAAATTTTTCTCAGTTCTTATTTTGAATCTTGTGAGTATTGATATATCTAGCCCACTGAAACAGAAGCTCTTTGGAGCACTCAATAACGTGTTAGAATGTAAAAGGGTCCTGGGACCCAAGTTTGAGAACCAGTGTTAAAGATGACTATCTCATGGCTCCTTGTCTAGGGTCTCAATCTAGATGTCATCATTCACCATGAGCTGCTCATGACATAATTATGATGACATTTAAATCACTATTTTCCCTATACCAGGGAGATAATTGTGCCTTTCATCACAGCAGAGGCTGCCTGGCTATGAGAGGTTGTGTCAGTTGTGGTGGTAACAATCTTCCTATTTTGTCCAGTGAGCTGACCAGGCTTTGAAGCTGCAGCCACAACGATGACGCTGTGGGAAGTGGCTCAGGCTTGGAACCAGGCAAGCATGATGAGAAGTTGGTTTGCCATCAAACCAACTAGTTCAAATTCTGCCTCTGTCACCCTTGGGCTATGACTTCAGGGGTTATTTAGCTCTAAAGAATTTCAACTTTCTTATATATGAAATATATCTGATAATATTTACCTCCCAGGATCATTATAGAGATTAAATGAGATAATCCATGTAATATTCTAGCATGTAATAGTAAAAGCCAATCTTTAATAAACAGTTCATAAGCCTTTTAATGTGCTTTCAATAACCCTAGTAAGTAATGTTATTTTTAACATGGTTCTACAGAGAGGAAAGCTGTAGCTCAGAGAAATTAAGTAACCTGCTCAACTTTTCAGTCAGCACTTGGCTAAAATTCAAACTCAATCCTCTCATCCCAGACCCGTGTTCTTAACCCCTGGGCTTTCTGCTACTCTGGCTCTTCAAAAGATGTTAGCCTTCTTCAGTACTTGTCTCTCTAAAACTAGAATAATTTGATCCACGTAGAATTCACATAGGATTAAGAGAAGGATTTTCTATAGACCCTCCCACATCACACATGCATACAGTAGGAACAAAATAAATTTTCATTCTTCATTTCCTAGAACAGTGGTTGACTGGAAGGAAAATGTATGTGCACAGCCTTTTTCTGTGCTTAAGTTTTGCATCTTGAAATTGATGCAGGGAGGTGAAAGTTGCTCTGGAGAGGCATGGTGGTGATGGTTGCACATGACATGAATGTATGTAATGGCACTGAGCTGTACACTTAAAAAGGGTTCAGGTGGTAAATTTTATATTTTTTGGGTTTTAACACAATAAAAGAAATTAAAAAAAAAAGAAAAGGCAATAGATCCTTTTGTTTTAAAGACAGCACATGCAGTTCTTAAGAAGGAAGATAGGCTCGTTCAAGCATTGGAAGTACCCTTGCACCCAAGCCTTCCAAGTAAGAGTAACTGTGGATCAGTGGATGTCTTCCTCTCTCTGTACTCTGTCTCCACTACCAGATAACTTGAATGTTAAGGGAATATCTTGAGATATTGCCTTGAGTTCCACTGCTACAGGTACCCAGATGCCCAAATCAATGGGCACACTTTACAAATTAGATAATTCAGCATAAGTTCAGTCATAAAAAAAGAAGAAAATCCTGCCATTTGTGACAACATAGATGAAGATGGAGGACATTATGCAAAGTGAAATAAGCCAGTCAGAGCAAGACAATACTGCATGATCTCTCTTATATGTGGAATCTAAAATCATTGAACTCATACAACCAGAGAGTAGGTGGTTACAAGGGACCGAGGAGTGGGAGACATGGGGAGAAGTTGGTCAGAGTTTTGGTTATAGGATGAATAAGTTCTGGGGATCTAATGTACAGCATGGTGACAATAGTTAATAATACTGTATTATATACTTGAAATTTGCTAAAAGAGTAGCTCTTAAACGTTCTCGCCCCCTCCAAAAAAAGGTAACTATGTGAAGTGATGGACGTGTTAATTAGCTCGATTGTGATATACATTTCACAATGTATATGTACATCAAACTATTACATTGTATAACTTAAATATATACATATTTTTTGTCAATTATACCTCAATAAAACTTGTGCCATTTCCCAACAGATGCTGGGAAAACTTCAGCATCTGTTTTTAATAAAAGACTTCTTGAATTTTTGATAACAAAAATACAAATAATCATAATAAATTTTAAATTGAAATGGGGTTCTTTCTTCTCTTTAGGAGAGTAAGTCGGGCTGCCGAGAGTTTCACCCCCACAGCAGTTAACTGCCAGCTAAGCAACTGGTCAGAGTGGACAGACTGCTTTCCATGCCAGGACAAAAAGGTAAGACATTATGGCCAGTTTGGGGGCATTTAATATTTGAATTGCATACTAGGCATTTGAATGGAGTTAAGCAGCCAGGTCTATATATCTGAAGATCTGGGGAGAAATTGGGTCTAGAAATAGGAAAAAGCCATGGAAACATGATGGCAGCACTTTTTCTGCCTCCCCTGATTTTATTGGAGGGCATTATAGGGCTGCAAAAGGTGTGTATGTTAGGCTTATGTGCAGAAAAGTGGTTATTTGGACAGGGGCACACTGATCCTTGATGGCCTCTCTGGATCCTGACCAATCTATTGCTTTCTAATGAGGCTCATTTGGAGGGGCTATTAGTAACAAAATGCCTAGCTTCCATGACTCACGGTGAGCTGCGATAAACCAGAGCAAGCCATGAAGGATGTTCCTGAGGATTCTACTTTCACGGTTTGAAAAGACTGACACACCCAATGAACGAATGAGTGTCTTGAACATCTAAGTGGTTCTGAGTGATCCAAAATGGTGGCTAAACTTAGTGGTATACCAGGGAAAGGAGGAGGTTGGGAGCTTTCTTCAATACAGTTCTGGCAGGAAGGAATATTAAAATTCTGCCTTTGTTCAAAATTGCTGGCTCACAGTCATAATAAAAAAGCAGACTAACTTCTATTCTCTTTTATTAGTGTTTTAACCTCTCCACAGACAACACGTGGCTTTACTGGATGCACCCAAGGTGTAATGTATCCAGGCTCCCACCTCTAGCAGTTGCACATCACTGCCCGAACCTTGTCTATTGGCACATTACTGTCAACTCTAAAGGTATAAGCTCTGATTCTGCAGTCTTGATTCTGGCTCTGCACCTTATTTACTGTGTTACTTTAGGCATACTTTTTATCCTCTCTGTGCCTTTGATTCCTTATCTATAAATGGGAATAGTAAGCAAGCTTACATCACAGTTACTATAAAAGTTATATGAGTAATGCGCGCAAAGCACTTATGACATCTGGCAGATGTTAGCTGTTTTTATAATTACTATCTGTGCCCTCCTCTCCGACCCCACTCCCAATGCCTTGAATTAAGCTCTGCTCTTCTCTTGCCTGAGCTTTTGCAGAGTTAGCTGGTGGTCCACCTCACCCCTGACCCACGCTTCAGCTAGATGTGAAAGTACCCTATGAAGGTTTGATAAGCCATTCAAAACCACAGCAAGGTGGAAACACAATCTCTACCTAGTTTATTCAACTCAGAGCCTGAAATTCATTATTCTGCCTCTCCCATCCCTGAGATATGCCAAAGAATCCTAGACTGCCCTTGCTTCACAGTATTTGGCCCCCAAATGCTCGTTTTGCTTTGACATCCTGTATTAGTTGTCTGAGTCTGCTGTAACAAATTGCCACAAACTAGGTGGCTTAAAACAACAGAAATTTATTCTCTCACAGTTCTGGAGGCCAGATGTCTGAAATTAGGGTGTCAGTAGGGCCACACTCCCTCCGGAGGCTTTAGGGAAGAATCTGTTCTTTGCCTCTTCCAGCTTCTGGTGGCTGTCGACAATCCTTGACATGTAGCTGCATTACTCCAGTCTCTGCATCTGTGCCCACATTGCCTCTTCCTCCTCCATGTGTCTCTTTTGTGTGTCTGTGTAAAATTTCCCTTCCTTCCACTTATAAAGACACTGTAATGATATTTAGGTCCTACCCTGCTAATCCAGAGTGATCTCCTCATCTCAAAAACCTTCATGATGTTTGCAAAGACCCTTTTTCCAAACAAAGTAACATTTACAACTTTTAAGGATTGGGACTTGATTTCTTTGCATGGCTATTATTCAGCCTATTATATATCCCCAACTACATTACATTTTGTGTGTGTGTGTGTGTGTGTGTGTGTGTGTGTGTGTGTTGCAGTTTAAGTAGCAGATAGCACAGGTCAATACCTTACAGTTTAAATCAGAATTAAGTAAATTCCTTAATGACCAAAAAAGATATATGTATCTTTAAAGTAATCCTTAAAATAATTAAATCCTATTATTTATGTGAAAGACACTCTAGTTTCTTTTTATTAATATGTTTCTTGCTTTCAAAATCACACTAACAAAGATGTGCATTTCTGGAAAGAAACAATATCTACTAGCTAAAAAAGAAAATTACGTCTTAATGATACCAACCACAGGTGAAAGCACGAAGAAGTCCCTCAGGGAATGTCTGCACTAACCTTTCTGCAACTCAATGTCTTTATTATTTGATAACAGCCTAGAAAATAGGGAGCTGGTGGGAATGAACCTCATGTTTGCACCATCATTCCAAGTATACGAACCACACGAAGGATGATAATGGCATCGACAGTTACCATTTATTAAATTATTTTTACATACCAGGCACTGTGCTAATGTTTTAAATAAATTGTCTTATTTGACGTTCACAGCCGACTGCGATAGATATCATCATCCCCTTTCTCTTGGATCACTTATTAAGAAAGGGCCGGAGCTGGATTTAAAACTTGGTCAGTGTGATTCCAAAAAGTCCGTGTGCCTGATCACTTTACGGCCTCTCCATGAACTACATGGAGAGTAAAGGTCATTTATCTCATTCTCACTCAGTTGTAAATCCTGGAGTAGCCCAACAGCTGGCTACGAGAACACTGATTTTGACAACTATGATTATTGAGTACATGCCAGCAACCAGGCAAAGTGCTAATTTCTTTATGTGTATTATTACTTATCTTCACAGTGCTCTAAGATAGTTCTCATTTAATAGATGAGAAAGCTGAGGGTCAGTAACGTTAGGTAATTTACCCAGTGACACATATACTCTAAGTGGTAGAACTGGAACTCCAGCCCAGTTTAAAATGGGATTCATAATAGTATGTCACCTAAACTTGTGAAGATTAAATGAGATTAAAAAAAATGAAGTGTTTGGACAATAGTTAGCACTCGATACATGGTAGCTACCATCACTATTATCATCACGTCGGTAAATGCAGGTCTCTAAACTGTGATAAACTTTTTAAAGAAGTGAGAGAGAGGATCGGTTCTACTTTGACATGCTGAGCATTCCTTTATTTACTGCATTTGGAGGCAAGATGTGGGTAGAAAATTAAAATATCCTCATCTCATATTCCCAAATCGATCATTAATTATAATCTCTTCCCACAGAGTTTACTAATCTCACTGTTGTCGTTAACTGAAAGGCAGGAAGGCAAGTGGACAGGTTTGATCTTTACCTCTTTTTGCCACCTCCATTTGCTAATGAGTAGTTAAGTAGGCAGAAATGGGCTAGAGGAAAGAGAGGGAGAAGCTCACTGCTCCCCACTCACCCACTGAATCTTGCGGAAAGGAATCATCAACATTGATAATGATGATGATGTGGAAACCACTCCTGTTTTCTGAGTACCAATGATATGCCAGACCCAGGGCTAGATGCTTCCTCATTTGTTCTCTCACTTAGTTCTCATAAAACCCTTTCATGGTAAAATGTCATTACATCCATTTTACATGTTAGAAAACAGAAGCTTGGGAAAGGTAAGTGACTTGCTCATGGTCAGTCGATGAGTGAATCTGGGATCTGAACCCAAGTCGATCTAATTCCCATGCCCGTGCTCTTTCGAATGTAGGACACTTGTGAAAGAATATTTAGTAACTGTATTTAGTAGGTCAAACTAGGTCAACCACTTCCTTTTATAGATTTGGAAACTGAGGCACAGATTACCAAGCACTGAGAGTTAATACAGCATGTAAGAAATAGATTCAGGTCAGAAACTTCTACCTCTTGCCACTCAAATAATGGTCTTCCTACTTACTAACGCTCTTGAAGGAGGGGCCTGAAGGTGGAGCCAGGGTAAGAGGCAGCAGAAAATATGGGGTCCACATTGCTTTACTGAACATTTTGTGTGGAGCTCTCCATATAGCATGTTTTGTATTGTTATATATTTTACCCCCTATCTAGACTCTAAGATTCTTAGAGGCAGGGATGGGAACAAAATATCTCTGAATATCCTAGTGTTTAGCTTCTTCCTTCCACAATATCATAAGACCACAGAGCCCCAAGATTGGTATGCATTTCTACTCTTTCCATTCTTCCTTAAAAAGTGTTTATTTGTCTGCAGTCAAAGCTGGACCCAGGGTCTCAGATGATGTCTTCAGAACTCTCTTTGTTTCTCTCTCCTGGATGAGCTTACTACATAGTAGACAAGATGTACTTCATGCTCGCAGTTTCTAGCAACTTCAGTGAAAAGAAACTGTCTTTTCTAATAGTTCTGAAAGAAAACCCTTAAAGAAAACTCTGCTCTAAGGTTGAGCCATGAACCAGTCCCTGAACCAGTCATTGCAACTTGGCAAATGTGGTGCCCTGGTTGCTCAGGCTGGTTCACACCCATACATCCCTGTGACTGAGGGAGTGAGCTCACCCCCACTGAACCACATGAGGTATGTCTCACAGAAAGAGGGGATGCCATGACCAGAAGAAATACTGCAAAGGAAAAGCAACATTTTCTAAAAGTGCCTCCTGTGTACTTGACTGTGGATCAAGTGTCAAGTGTATGAACCCAAATAAGATATAGTCCTTCTTTCTCCACCCCTACCCCCATGTACAAATTGTTTCTAGACTAGTGAGAAAGGTATACAAATGAGCAGACAATCAATCACAACCTTACATGACAAGTTCTAAGAAGAGAGGGACATGTAGGGAACTGTAGAATATGTTAGTTAGGAAAGGCTTTCAGAGGAAGTAAACCACAAATCTCGAAAGATGAAAGGAACTAACTAGTTGAATAAGGGGGGAGGGGGTTCTTCCTAGAAAGTAGGAAGACCATAGACATATCTTGTTTAAGCCTTTCATTTATGCTTGGAGGCCTTATTCAATATTCTGGCTGGTGATTGTCCCACCTCTGGTTGAACATCACTTTTTAATGAACACTCATCCCTTCAAAAGACAGCCTTTTAGGCACCTCTCAATCATTAGACGGTTGTTCCTTATGTCGAGCTGAGACCTGCCTGCACAAATCTTGGTAGATTGATACACAATAAATGTGTCTGGTTCAAAATCTGATTTAGTACCGACACCGGAGCCTCCTGCAGCCAAACAAGTTTGGGGGAACCATCTGCAGTGGTGACATCTGGGAAGAAGTCAGCTGTCGCAGTCCCTCAGCTTGTCTAAGGCAAGCACAGTGTGGACAGGATTTCCAGTGTAAGGAGACAGGTGAGTAGCATTCCGGCAGGATAACAGCTGTGCTTGTCAAACTTAACATGCCAAACACTCCCAAGGGAGCTTGTTAAAAGGCAGACTCCTGAGCTTTTCCCCTAGAAGTTGTCACTCTGCAGGATTAGGATGGGGCCCAGGAATCTGTATTTTAAGTCAAGCCAACAGTTCAAGTAATTCTGATGCAAGTTTGTAGAAAAATCTGTGATTCATTTGGAAAAGACGTAATTGACACATTCATCTTTTTATTGAATAAATATTAACTGGGCATGTATTACATACCAGGCTAAGTATACTTACCTGCTGGTGATATAGAGATGAAAAAATAAGGTGCCTGACCTCGAGATACTCCTAGTCTCTTTGAGAAAGAGACCTACAAGGAGTGTATGACAATGTCATGTGATAGTCAGTGTAATGGGCATTAGTACATGATCCAATGGGACTCTCTAGCAGGGGGTACCTAAATCTGCTTTGGAGAGTCAGAGCAAGCTTCAAAATAATATTTGAGCCGAGTTTCGAGGAAACAGAATGTGCAAAAGCAAGGGGATTTAGGGACTTGTAATCAGTCTGGAATAATTGCAGGTTAGGCCCTTGGGAAGAGAAGCAGGGGATGGGCCGTGTAGGTAACTGGGGACCAGACTGTAGCGTTTGGAAGAGGCGTGGGGAGCCACTGGAGGATACAGAGTAGGGAGATGACAGGGCCAGACTGGCATTTTAGAAAGCTCACTGGTGATGAAATGTGGAGGCTAGGTTTTAGAGGGGAGCCTTTGGCAGGGCCTGAGTTGGGGGGCTGTAGATGGGTGACAGCGAGGCTGGAAGGAGGGCAGAGGTAGTGAGGATGAAAAGAGGATGAAAAAGGATGGAGAGGACTGAGGGGCTATATCAGAGGGGGAACAGACATGAATGACTACGAATGATCATAAGGGAGAGGGAGGGGTCTGGGAGGCTCTAGAAGCATCCATAGCCTCCCGTCTCTCAGATCGCTGCCTGAAACGCCACCTCGTGTGTAATGGAGACAAGGACTGCCTTGATGGCTCTGATGAGGACGACTGTGAAGATGTCAGGGTCATGGAAAATGACTGCAGCCAGTATGACCCGATTCCAGGATCAGAGAGGGCAGCCTCTGGGTGAGTCACTGCCTTCTGGCTATCTGGGGGCCAGGGAATGATTTCTCTTCAATTACGAATATTAGTTTTGGAGACAGAATAGGATCTTTTTAGAGGATTCTTCTGGAGTATTTTCTATGAGGCAGCTGTCACTGTCATATAAGGTGGTGTCTTAGTCGGATTGGACTGCTAAAATAAAATACCGCACACTGGGGGGCTTATAAACAACAGAAATGTATTTTTCACCGTTTTAGGAGATGTAAACCCAAGATCAGAGTGTCAGCATGATCGGGTGAGGGGCCTCTCTTTCAGGTCTCGTTGTATCCTCTCAAAGCAGAAGAACACTAATATTCTTCACAAGAGCTCCGCCTTCATGATCTAAGCACCTCCCAAAGGTCCCACCTCCTAATACCATCACATTAGGGGTTAGGATTTTAACATATGAAATGTGGGGGAACACAAACTTTCATAATGGGGGCTTACTCAGTCCTGGTTACATGACATAAGTTATGTTTTCTCCTCTTTGTCTCTGCCTGAGAGTCTCCCTCTCTTTTTATCCCTTCCCATTCTACTGCTCACTCCTCTCACCTCAATTCCATTTCCGAGGCCCATTTAAGAAGCCACATCTTCCATGAAGGCTTCCCTGATGTCCCAGGAAGATAACTCTTCTCTGACCCAAGTGCACTTTCCAGTAGCCCTTTTCACATTCTGCTTTGGACTGCAGTTGCTGGTATAACCAGGGCTAACAGTGGGATACAGTGAAAAGAAAATGGACTTGGGATGCCATGGAAGGGAGCTCAACTCTCCACTTCACCACTGCTTACTCACATCTCCCAGGCCACAGTCTCTTTGTCTGTTGAAATTCAATCAGCCTCGATTCTAAATTTCTTCAACATAGATATTATGCTCAGGTTCAGTTCCTTGAACACCATCGCACTCTTTTGTTCTGAGACTTAATAAATTTGATTCCTTCTTTCTGAAATGCCCTTCCCTATGTTCTAACCCGTCTAACTTCTTACCTATCGTAATGAACTGAATTTTGTCCCCCTTAAATGCATTTGTTGAACCTTGACCTCAGTGTGACTGTATTTGAAGATATGGCCTTTAGGGAGGCAATTAAGGTTAAATTAAGTCACAGGATGGAGCCTTGATCCAATAGGACAGGTATCTTTGTAAGAAGAGGAAGTAACACCAGAGATCTCTCTCATCATGTGTGGAGAAGAGGCCAACTGAGGACACAGTGAGAAGGTGGCCGTCTGCAACCCAGGAAGAGGTCTCCCCAGAAACCAACCTTTGATCTTGGACTTTTAAACTCCAGAACTATGAGAAAATAAATGTCTAATCTGAGTCACCATTTTGTGGTATTTGGTTATGACAGCCCAAGCTGACCAAGACACTTAGGCATCACCTCCTTTATGTACTCTTTTTGACACACCCTTCCCTCTCCTTGACGTTGCTTAGGCTGCCTTAGTCCTCTCCCATTGTTCTGGGTCCCTTGTGTGTTCTACGCTTCCAGCACTTATCCAACAGGGCTAGGACATCTGTTGCAATGTCCTTTAGCCACAGGTATGAACTTGTTATTTCTATTCCTTCAGTACCCAGCACAGGGCCAAGATCGTAGTGATACTCAGTATTGTTAGTTCCCTGGTACTCTGTCTTTGCCTTGGATTGTGTCCTTTAACTTGAATGTAAACTCTTTGAAGACAGAAGCTGCTTCTGACTAATTTTTTTCATCACCTGAGCCCTGATGTCAGAGCTTTTCCTATAACAGCCTCTGACTGAGTATTGGTTGAATTGGAACAAATCAATATGACCAACTGTATCTTTACAAATGAGGAAATGGGGAGATGTAGTGATCATCCCAAAGTGACCTGGCCATGTTGCAGCCCACCTGGGGTCGGGTGAAATGCAGCTCTCATTCATTATGGCTTAATTGTCCTGCGAGCACAGCTCACCTACCAGATAAGTTAGAATCCTGTAAGTGCATGTAGATATACACTTATGAAAATATGATCAACTTCCATTTTTTTTCAGATCAATGGTATTAATTTTCTTGGGCTGCCCTAACAAAGTACCACAAACTGGGTGGCTTAAGCAACAGAAATTTATTTTCTCACAGTTCTGGAGGCTAGAAATCAGATCAGGTATCAACAAGGTTGGTTTCTTCTGAGGCTTCTCTCCTTGGCTTGTAGATGGCTGTCCTCTCTCTGTGTCTTCACACAGTCTCCCCTCTGAATGCGTCTGAGTCCAACTTTCCTCTTTTTAAGGCACTGGTCATATTGGATTATGATGTTATTTTAAGTTAATTACCTCTGTAAATACCCTATCACCAAAACACAGTCTAATTCTGAGGGTTTTTTTTTTTTTTTTGCAGTGGGGAGTGGCCAGGATTTCAACATATGAATGTTGGGAGTGGGGGAATGTGATCAAATTCTATACCAATAAAAGGGGATTATTACAGATTTTGAGAGTGATTGCGGAGTGAACAGAGTAGAAGCATAAAATATCTACATGTTGACTTAAAAAAGAATCACCGCCTTTTTGGCAAAAATATCACAATGACTTGCTCTCATGTGAATCAATCAAGAGCATTTCAAATATACTTTCTGAATGTGCTTTGCCCACACCAAACATTAAAGATAATAGAATGGCTTCTCCTCTACCCCCAATAGCTGACATTTTGATGGTTTTCCTATCTATCTCAGGATTTTAGAGGCCTTTCCTGACATCTTGTTTTCTAATTTAAGCATTTCCCAGTTTTTAATTTTTATTTATTTTTATGGAAGTCATACATGTTTGAAGTAAAAACTGAAAAACCTTCCTTCACCCTTCCCTACCTGCACCCCACCTAATCACCCTCTCTCACCGCCCTCCCTAGAGCTGATCCCCATTTATAGTTTGGTGTAGGCACTTCTAGATCATATAAAAATGAACTGACAATATACATTGTTGAGAAAATGCCTATAGTAGGTGTGATCCATAATAGACATGAGTATAGTTTACATAAATGTGATCATACTATACATCGTCTGTAACTTGCTTTTTTCACTTAATAAAATATTTTGAAGAACTCCCCCTATATTTTCCCATATTTTCTATTGTTTCTTTGTAAGCAACATAGAGTTCTATATCAGGGGTTAGTAAACTATGGCCCGAAGGCCAAATTCAACCTGCCATCTGTTTTTTTTATAAATAGTCTAATCGGAACACAGTTGTTGCCCTACAATGGCAGAGTTGAGTAGTTGCAACAGAAACCTACAACCTGCAGGGCCTAAAATATTTATTCTCTGGCCCTTCGTTAAAAAAAGTTTGCTGACTCTTCTCTTATAGTATAATTATATAACTTATTATGATGATAATAAGTATATGATGTCTACTTTCTATTGATAGATTGTTTCTCATTTTTTCTCTTATTAACAAACACTACAATGAACATTCTTGTACACATATTTTTGTAAATATGTGTGAATATTTCTGTAGAGCAGATTTCCTAAAAGTGGACTTTCTCAACTATGTCTTTTTCTTTTTACTGGCACTTCTGCAACCAGATTTTCCAAATATATGTAGGCTTTTCTTATGCTTAGAGATAGCAGTATATAATATTAGGGCTTATTATTCCTTTGGTTTTTGTTTGGCTTATTAGAAAGCCTATACTTACTTGTAAGCTACAGGCAGAAACACATTCCACAGCAGAAAAGGGAGAAACTTCAGGGTGAAGTAAAGGGAAAGAATTCAGATTTGTGTCAAAAAAAAAAAAAAATCTAGAAAAAAAAATCCAGCAGCAATTATAGGCAAATTACTTAATTTTTCTGTGCTTCAATTTCTACATTCACAAAACTGTCATAAGGTTTAAAGCTAACGTGTGTTAAATATCTGGTATGGTGTATATTCAATTCCTCACAGTTAATATTACATCACTGCCACTATATGAAGAAAGACATGGAGAAAGGAAGAGAAAAAGGAAGTTAACTTACATTTAATTTCTACTATATGCCAGGTGCTCTACCATTGTCCATTTATTCTTTTGAAGCAGGTTTTATTCAGTTTTTACCCTGCTCAGATTACTGCCTTTGTGCCTTTCCACACAGGCCACAAACATACATGACACAGTAATCACTGAATGCCATGGGACCATGAGGAGAGACAACTGTCTGTTCAGGATAATCAAAGAAGGACATACAGAGGAGGCAACATTGGAGATGGCCTTAAAGGCCCAATAGGAGTTTGAGAGACAGAGACAAGCAGTCATTTTATTATCTATAACAAAAGAGGCTTTGACTGTCAGATCTTAGAATGCTTAGCCAACTCTAAATGTTGTTGTTGTTAACTTTCTATTTTTAGAAAATTAAAGCTGTATTTCACCTGTTTCATATTACTTTTACCTAAATATGGTTAAACCATCCATGGCCTAAAGTCTAGAACTTGGGCAGATAGATTTGAAATCCCTGAGAGGGAATTATGAGAAAATATTTCTGGAAGGGTATTAGGCTAGGGGAAAGAAAGTATAATTGTTTAGTGCCTGATATGTCCTATCAATTTTACTTGTTCTTCTTTAATACTCTCATTTAGATTTCATAAAAACCATGAGATGTTGTTTTATTATGTCTATTCTACAAATGAGGGAAATGAACTTCAGAAGGTATCTATAATGTGTCCAAAGTCACACAGCTAGTATATAATAGAGTTGGAAATTAAACAGGAGCTTTCTGACTTTCAAACTGTGCACTGACATTCCATGCTGCCTTGAAGAAAAGGATTTTTCTAAGGATTAGAGTCTTAGCTTGGCACTATGACTTATATCAACTATTTCAAACTCAATTTTTTTTTTTTTTAGCAGCAGAGCCCTTTTCTGAAATAATACTAATAGCAACAATGTTTATTTAGTACTTAATACATGCTAAGTGCTATTATGATTCCTTTACATGTTTCAGCTCATGTTTAACTCTGTAGTGCAGTAGTATTAAATGCTTTTTACAAATGACTAACCTGAAGCACAGAGAGGTTAAATGATTTGCCCAAGGTCACACAGCTAGATGTAGCAAGGATAGGAAACAGATTCAGACTGTCTGGTTCCCGTGCTTGTCCATTCTGCATATTCTTCTCTAATTCATTCAACAAATATTTAGGGGTGCCTCCAATCTGGGAGCACTGTTTTAGATGCTGAATGGAGCTATCTGTCTGCTCTGCTTGGAGAGAAACTGAAGGCCTGGGCCCAGCCCTCTCAGTCTCCCATTGTTACCCAAAGTGGCCTTTAAGGTACTTTGAGGAACCCTAGGGCTCCACAGAACACAGTTTGAGAAACCACTGCTCAGACTACCAGCTACATCTTCCCTAGAATATTTTGTTATCTTTGCCTTTCCAGTGCTCTCTCCCACAAGCTGCCTATTTTTTCAATTTAGGTATAATATCCTGACCCAGAAAGAAACTCAGAGCGTGTACGATGCCAGGTATTATGGGGGCCAGTGTGAGACGGTATACAATGGAGAATGGAGGGAACTGCGATATGATTCCGCCTGTGAGCATCTCTACTATGGAGATGATGAAAAGTACTTCCGGAAACCCTACAACTTCCTAACGTACCACTTTGAAGTAAGTCTGAGCAGAGGCACTCAAAGGCCCCAGTAGGGTGGAGGCAGGAGGGAGAGGCCTGTTGGTGGAGATAGATGCCTTATTGCAGAAGACTGTATTTCCTGGAGAGCGTGCTGGTGGCTGAAGGTCCCTTTACACCTGCTCCACACATATTCAGTACTGAAGGGCACTAAGAGGCAAGGGCAGAGCCAGGGAGAGGCACAAGGTCAATGTGACCACCCATCTGCTAAAACTAGGCGCCATTCCAAAATCAGTAAAATAGATTTGGGGCCCAAAGACCTGTTTCCAAGTTGCAGACCTGTTAGACGATAAGAACAGAACACACAGCACTCTATATCTACAGGTTCCACATCCGTGGATTCAACAAAATGTGGACTGAATATATTTTTAAAATAAATGTTACATCATTGCTGACATATACTATGTGGTTAGGCCTATGATGGCTGCATCTGGACCAAACATGCACAGCTTTTTTTATTCTTGTCACTATTCCCTAAACAATACAGTATAATAACTACTTACACACAATTTACATTGTATTAGGTATTATAAATAATCTAGTGGTGGTTTAAGGTATATGGGTTGCATAGGTTATATGCAAATACTACACTATTATGTAAGGGACTTGAGCATTTGTGGATTTTGGTATCTGTGGGGGATCCTGGAACCATTCCCAGCAGAGGGACGAGGAACGAGAGACAACTGTATACAAGACCTTGAGCAGCTCACTACCCTTCCCCAGGGCCCAGTTTTCTAAGCTGTAAAGTGGTAGCAGGACAGGAGGCAGCTGGACAGGGTTCTGAGACCTATGCCCTTGCTTTGCCAAGAACAGGCTCCCTATTGATCATTTTTATATCTTGGTTTTCTGCATTTGATTTTGTTTGAAGAAAGGGTTCTGCTATTGAGAAGTGCAGACTGCTGATGATCCCTAAGAGTCTCTCCATCTCTAAAATTCGACAGTCTCTTGGTTACTCAGAGCAGTACATAGCTCATGATCAGCTCCAGAGCCTGCTCTTCACCATTCATTTTTTCAGCCCTCATCTTCATCCAAACTTCATTGGATGCTTACTATGTATCAGATCTTCTACTTCCACACAAAGGCTCCCATTTAACCCTCATAACAATACAATGGACTAGATGTTATCGTTGTCCCATTTTAGATGTTAAAAAATCCCAGAGACTTAGAGGGATAAAGTGTCAGGCCCAAAGTTGTACTGCAGTAGGTCGCAGACACAGATTTACCTCCAGATCTACCTGAACTAAGCCCAGATCTTTGTCATTAAGAAAGGAGGATAGATTATACACATTATACCTATACACAGTCTAACTGTACAGAGAGATGGTAGAATCTCAGGACTCTAAACAATAATCTAGTCACATCCCCCCTCCTCCAAATTTCTAAATGAAAAATATTGACAGAAGATAAGGTCAGGCTTACGGAGTTTCTTTTTAAGAAGCTGGCTTCCCCCATCCCACTTCCACCTCTGCCAAGCTGGAAGACAGGGACAATGCCATTGTCTGAGCCTCAAGAATGGCCTAGGGCCTATGTGTCAGGCAAGACAGACTAGGCTGTGTTATGGCAACAAAGTATTCTGAAATCTCAGTACCTTGAGGCAAGGGTGCCCCGCTCATGCTACTTGCCCAATCTAAGGTGGAAACGAAACTCTCATCAACAGACACTCAGGACCCAATCTAATGGAAGCTCTATCTCAACATATGATCTTGTGATTGTAGAGTGAACCTCATAAGGGCTCTTAACCCTTACATCCTTGGCTCAAGCTAGACACAAGAAAATGGCTCAGTCTACGGCCATGCCACCCTGAACAAGCCCGACCCCCTCTGATCTCGGAAACTCGGCATGGTTGGGCCTAAAAAAATAAAAGAGAAAAAAGAAAATGGCTCAGTTCAAGTTGGCAGAGAAATGCAACCCTACCGCGTGCCTGGAATAAAATAACCAAACATTTGTAGGCAGCATGAAAGCATACCTTTGCCTAAAGCTATCATCAGCTGCACAGCTTCCTTTGCCCCTTTCCACTCTGGTCTACATCCAGACGTGGTTTTCTGTATCTCTCCATTGTGGAACCAAGCGATCTCCCCTACAGGAAGCATAACCCAACTGGAAAGAAATCCATGTGCAGAACGATATAGCATTTCATCAGAATCATCAGTGTGTGTGTGTGTGTGTGTGCGTGCACACATTTAAATATTTTAGCAGTAGCACTAAATACTAACTAAACTGCTGTATTTTCTGCGTCTTAGTGAGTATCAATCTGATGCCTGGATTAACCTTTAAAGAGACTTACTATAATCTTAAACTTGAGGTTTTTTACAAGACAAAGATTTAAATATTAAGTATGAATTGAGATATATGCACAAAGCTAACATCCATTTGTTTCTTTTTCAGGCCCGAGCAGACACTAGCTTCTCCTCAGAGATGTACGATGATGCAAATGAACTTTATTCTAAAGTAAAAGACACCACATCTGTGGGAGGTGGGGTCACTGTTGGTGTAGACCTTGCAGACAGACCTGTAATGGTGGACGTGGGTGTATCTGGATCACGTGGCATTTCGATCTTGAATGAGTTAAGCAAGTATCAAAATAAGGTATTAAAACATAATGCCCGTGTTGCACAGTATTCCATAACCTATACTGAACATGTATTACCTTAATTGCATTAAAAAGTACAGTAGTAATTGAACCTTCATTTGCTTGTATAATTGAAAATGTCTGATCAGTGGTAATCATGTTTGTTTTTTCTTATTACGCCTTTGCACACAGACTCATCGCAAAGGGAATAAAATTGAACGATGAGACTAGAACCCTTATCACTTCACCCCATCCTTTTTCTTGGTTACCTGGAGCAGGTAGGGAAATACTTTGAATAGTAATGTCTTAAAGAGGAACAGCCAGCTTTACTAAACTAGACTTGAAAGAATTCCAATGCAAGCCTTACTTTTCCAAATAGATCGGAGGGCTGGCATGCTGAACTGGTCTTTCATTTATTCATCGAACATTCACTACTAACTGTCTGTTATTCCGAGGGGTCAGGCAATGCTTTTCTGAGGAAAGAACATCATCCTAAAGTGAGCTCTAATGACTAGCACAAATTCTCCAGATGAGGGGAGGCAGGAGTTAACAGAAGGGTGTTCTAGGCCTGGGAAGCAGCATGTGCAAAGGCCTGGAGGTGAGAAAATGCCTCGTGTGTTTGGAACTGAAAATATGTCATCTGGCTGAGGCACAGGGTAGGGAGGGCAAACAGGGCGTGATGACGATGGAGGGGGATTCAGGAGCCAGAGAAATATTTACTGAATTGATCAGAAATTTACCAAAAAGACTCAACAGCATTATATTTTGGAGCTTTGCCACAAATTAGCTGAAGGGAAAGTATTGTTCTATTATCTGACTATCACATATCGATGTGAACTTTTCTAAAAGCATGTGACCTCTTCAAACTTTCACCGTCACTTTGGATCAAGATGTACATTACTTGGAAGTAATACCCATACATGACCCTCTTCCTCTTAAACCAATTCAACATTATCATCATTCTATCGTCTTCTTCTCCTCCTCCTCCTCCTCCTCTTTCTTCTTCTTCTTCTTACTATTATTATATCAGGATGATGCTTTTCTTTATTACCTAACAGTACAGGATTACTGCTAGAATGTAAGCTTCATGAGTGTGGGGGCCTATCTCATTCAAGACTATGTCCACAGCATAGTGCATGTAAATGAAGGCATTTTTAGATATTTGTTCAATATATTAAATAATACTGCATTTTGCCATGCCATCAAAATAGTCCTATGCATAATTTTTCATGGGTACCTAATACTTGTGTAGGAGGTTACATAGTGCAATGCTTCGATTAGAGCAGGGAGAGATGTGGAGGTGAGAATGGAGCAGGGGCAGAATAGAGGTGAGGAGCACAGAGAAGCACAGAGAAGCATAGCGTAGTAACTAATCAGGCGAGCGCTAACGAGAACTTGTTTTGGACAGGGCAGTGGGAACAGAGATGAAGTTATGTGAGAAGAAGCCAGGAACACACTGGTGTCTGATGTGTGCTTGTAAAATATACTAATACTTCATTATATGTATTTATGCTCATATATTTATATGTAAATGTATATATTTCCCACAGCTACTAAATGCTGACCTTTTACATTATCTCATATGGTAAAATGTATTCTTTCTTTTCTCTCTTCCCTCATTCCGTGGCGGTTGTTGTTGGCAGAAATACAGATTCATGAGAATTTTCACAAAGGTGAAGACTGCTCATTTTAAGATGAGGAGGAACAATATTATGCTAGATGAAGGAATGCAGCAGTCATTAATGGAGCTTCCGGAGCAGTACAATTACGGCATGTATGCTAAGTTCATCAATGACTATGGAACCCATTACATAACGTCTGGATCAATGGGTGGCACTTATGAGTATATCCTGGTGCTTGACAAAGAAAAAATGGATTTGTTTGGTAAGTAGGAGTTTTATGCACACAATGTGGTCAGTGCCTACATTGGAACGTGGTTTGCAGTTTTCTGAGCATTGACTATGAGCCACGCACGATCTCATTTAGTCCTCATGACAACCCTATAAGGTATCATTAGTATCATTTTCAGAGAATTGATGTCCAGAGGGTGAAATGACTTGCTAATAAGCACGACAAACAGGATTTTAACTTGTGCTTGTCTGGCTCCCTAAAACTATGTGTTTTCTATTTCACCATGGTTACCTCCTTAATAATAGAGAATCTGGGATTTTATTATGTAAAATGTACATTTTAAATGTAAATTCTTGGTTAATGGAAACGCCAGACCATTTAGTCAGTGATGCCCCAAAACTGGAGTCATCCCAGATTCCTCCTTCTCCTTCACCCTTGTAGATCTTTAAGATCCTTCGGATCTCTCCCCTGAACAGCTCTCTTCCATACCTCTTCTTCACATCCACTCCAGTTGTAGGCTGGGTTCTCATCTTTCACTTATTACTGCATCAGCTCCAAATGGTCTCTAGGGGAAGGCTCACTCACCCCTCCCAATTCATTCTCAACGATTGCCACCAGAGGGATCTATGTCACAGATCTGAGGAGATTGCTCTTCTTCCCTAATGTCCTGAATGGCTAAGAATAAAGTCTAAATAAAGTCTCCATAGCATGACATCAACAACCTTCATGTTCTTACTCCAAACTGCTAAAACAACGGTTCTCAAAATGTGGACTCCAACTGGCAGCATCAGCATCACCTGGGAACCTATTAGAAATGCAAATTCTCAGGCTCCCATCCCAAATCTGCTAAATCAGAAACTCTGGGATTGGGCCCAGTAGTCTGTGTCATGACAAGCCCTCCAGGTGATTCTGATGCTCATTACAGTTTGAGAACCCCTGACCTAGTTAATTAATGAGTAGATGGGTGAGAAATCTATCCATATTTCAAAGCCAAGGTCAAATTCCCAGGAACAAGAATTTTCCCTGACTGCAATAGTCTAGGCTGGCCACTTCTTTTCTTTAACAAATTCATATGTTCCACACTGTTTAGCCTTTAAAAAATAATTTTCCAAATGTTAATATTTTCCTCTTCATCTAGATTATAAGATCTTTAAAAGCAAGTATCGTGTCTGATGCTTTTCTGTCTTGCTGGCATTCAACACAGGGCTTAGTATGTATTGAGTGTGCAAAACAAGACATGGAGTTTGAAAAAGGGCATTTGTTTAGATTCTTGGCTAGAGCTGTTCATTGGTTCAGCCATATAGCCATGTTTTCATTCTTTCATACTTCACACACACATCTTTTGAGTACTTATTATGCATTTGTGCTAGGCATACAATGGTGTGCAAATCTAAATATGGTTCCTACCCTCTTGTAGCATAGTACTCTTCAAACTGCGGGGTGTAACCCAGGAGTAGGTCTTGAAATCAATGTATGGGTCACAAACAACATTTTGAACAATGATACAGGATAGAATGGAAAATATCATAGTGGATTGCAGGCAGTGAAGGTAAGTTATTGCCTCAAGAACTTTTTTCAGTTAAATATAGACACATATACATGTACAGGTCATGATACAAAATAAAGAGTTTAATATGAATCAACATAAATAAAAGAATTTGAAAAACTTAATTCAAGTGGATCTTTTTAGAATCACTCAAAAATGTGAGAAAGAAAAAAGAGCTAATGTTCGTTGAGTACCCACTAGGTTCCAGGTGCTTTTGTATATATTCTCATTTAATCTTTTCGGCAACATTTGGAGGTTGCTGTTATCCCAATTTTAGCCCCAGAAATGCTGAGGCTGCTCAGGGAAGTTAATTACTTCCCCATGGCTACAGGAAGCTGGAATCAGAGCCCTGGACCCATGCATGGTCTTTCCATCATGTGGTCATGGTAGAGCCTTTCATTTGTGCTCTTGTCTTTGGTGTTGAATTACTAATTAATTGCCCGAGGTATCTCATGGCCCCTCCTCTTTAAAATATGTGAGGCAGAAATGGGCTTCCAATGTGGTTAATATTCAGAAGGAGCCCACCAACAAATTGTCCCAGGGATAATTACCTCAGCTCTGTTTATAGAAAACCATATGTCGATAATAGCACAATTTGCTATTTGTGAAGAGCTGATTTTCTATAAATCTGGAAAGTTAGTGTTGCTTTTCTATAAATATGGAAATTTGCTAATCATCACCTCATCTGCTGGAGACCGCTAATAAATCAGAATGTCATTTACATATTAACCTACAAAGAACAAAAACATCTACCTTCTTTCCCTTTGACAGATAGAATCACGCACACCCTCTTTCCATGTTTAATGTTTGCCTAGTTTTCTCTTTGTTTCTCATCCCCTCTCCCTTACTCCCTTTCTTTCTAAGTGCCTTGCTCTTTCTCTCAACCCATTTCTCTGTCTTTCCTCTTCGTTACTATTTTTTTCTCTCTGTATATCTTTAATCTGTATGACTTTAATAATATTTATACTCGATTAAGTGCTTATTTCTAAGAAACACCCTGTGTGATATATACACTCGCATCCTCAAAGAACAGGGCTTGGTATGGAAGCCTTTAAGTGAACATACTGGCTAGTTTGCTCGGGGGAATCTTTTGTCTTTGAGTTTGCCTCAGATCCTCTCTGAGTAATTCTCAGAGGATGAACAAGGCTGTTTGCTCTCATGTGTTCTTTAGATAAAATGCTTCTCTGCCAAAGATGGCATAAAACCATGCATCAAAGACAAGTGAAGTCTCGAATATTGGGGAGGTGACATTAGACTTCGGTGGGATCCCAGGCCTTCCTCCAGGGCTGCACCTGGCAGCTTTCTACCTTCTGCATGAATCAGGATGGCTTTGGCATTAAATTTCTGGATATGTATTTCTTTTCTCTTCTATTTCTTCTTTGGAGATCTTACTACTTGTCTTTGTACCAAGGTATGACAAAGAGAATCGTCTATTCACCAGTCTGGCCCAGTCACAGAGTTGATTTACCTTGGGCAGGTCAAGTACTTCAGTGACACTACTCTGTCCATGTGTCTTCTCTGCGTTCTTTTGCACGTGCTATGCTGTCAGCATCCAATGCTCTTCCCTTTATTGCCAACTTGACAGATTTAATTCATCCTTCTGAACCTTGTATGGGCGTCTCTACTTCTGCGAAAACTGCTCTGACATCCCTCCACCCCTTCTCCATAATTTTGTTTTGTCATACATTCATTCACTCAATCATGTTTACTGAATCCTTATCATGAATCAGGTAAATAAAATCAATATGGTCCCTGTCCTTGCAAAGCTCATGATGTAGTACAGAAGGTTAAATTAACTGCCAAACTCTAGATGTCATCTTGGTTCCTCTTTTACTTCCTGCTCCTCTTCAGCAATATCTGTCGAATTTACTTCTAAAGCATATGTGGCATCTATTCTCCCATTTCTATTACCATCTAGCTGGTTTAAATCACCATTATTTCTCACTTGCACACTGCTAAAGTATGATGGCTTCCTTTCTTTCTTCCTTCTCCCTTTTCCTCCCTTCCTTCTCCCTCCTTCCCTTTCTTCCTTATTGTCATCATCCTTCTTCCTTTAACACTCTAACATATCAAGTTTACTTCAGCTTACACTCTGAGTATTGGCTGTCCTCTTGGTCTGGGCAACCCTTCCCTCTGATGTTTGAATAGTTGTATTCTAATTATTCAAATCTCAGCTTAAATCTCAACTTTTCAGAGAGGACTTTCCTTCCCAGTCAAGTCCCTTTTTGCTATAGTATCCTATTTTAATTATCATAAAATCACTGTTTATTCAGTAGTTACCATGTTCATGCACTTATTTTTTTTAATTGTCAATCTCCTCTTTCTAGAATGTATGTTCTATGAGAGCAGAGGTCTCCTCTGCTATATATTCATCTCCTATAATAGTACATAGTAGGGCCTCAATAAATTTTGAGCTGAAGACTTGGATAAGGAGAGAATTCCAGGAGTTGACATTGGAGGAAGCATAGCCAGGTCTCAGGGCGTCTTGCCAGCCATGGTAAGAAGCACGAACCATATCCGCTATAAAATAGAAGCTACTACAGTTATCAACAAGGCAGAGCTTAGCCTCTCGTATGTGTCAGTAAATCATGCTGCTAATACGTAGAGCACAGAATAGAGGGGGTGAGAGTGGACTCAGGGAGAAGAACTTGAAATCTCTTGCTGATGTCTTGGTAAGGAATAAGCAATGAAGAGGAAAGAATATAATAAATGTGGGATAGATTTTGAAAAGAGAGAGTAGAAAATTTACAGATGGCTTGGTTGTGGATTGTGAGGTATAAATTACTCCTTTCTCTGAATTATATTTCTATCATACACACACACACACAAACACACACGAGCACATGCGTGCATACATGCGCACACATACTGGGGTAAAAAAATATGGTGAGTTTTTATGGGGGTGCCAAGCTTCCTGGTAGAGATGTTCTACAGGCATTTGAAAGTATGGCAGGGATTCTGGAGCCAAGAGAAGACTACAGAATACACATTTTTAAAATGAATATATTACGTCAATTATAATTACAAATATAATTTGTCTCTTCTTCTAGACAATGAACCCTTACATATACATTCTATATCTCTTTTCCCTGGGGTATTTTTTTACCTAGCATGTGCTGGGACCATAGTGGATACATCATGAACATTTGAGCTGATGTGAACTTGCCCAACCTCTCAGACTACTAATTCTCCATCATTTTTACTGTTTTCTCTTCCTCCACCTCACCTTTAAATGTAGGCGCAACCCTAGGGAGCGTTCTTAGCACTCATTCCCTACTATGTCATTGTCCTTGCTTCTTCCACTCTCCAACTTCCTTCTTCAGTGAGTGATTCCACATGCCCAGCTGAATCCCTGCCCGTGTTCTCAAATGCCTGAGGGCATCTCCACTAGAAAGCTGGCACCTCCAGGGAGTCAAATCCTGTCCCTCTCACACCAACCCACTTTGTGCTCTTCTTCCTGATTTTTTTTTCTCTGTCAGAGACACCA